CGGTTGTGGACAGCTGTCGGTCTGGGAGGCCTTTCCATGTACGCACTCATTTTTAGAATGGCGTTTGCCTGCCTGAAGTCGATGCATTCTTTATTTGTGTAGTTTTTAATATAATTTTAATTCCTTAAGGCGTAATATCTGGAGAAGTGTGGAAGGTCTAGGACACTGAGTGACCTGACTGCAGGTGACCTGACTGTATACCCAGGGCCTGCGCACTTTGCCGTCGCTGAAATGACGGGAAGAAGGTTAAAGGACCGAGCATCTCGCATCTAACTAAGGATGACTTGAATACGCGCATCCAGTTTAGAATTGCTGTATCCGGGTGGTGGCGATGTGGGCGTGACGGACAAAGGGAGTGGGGTCACTGGAAACATCCACAATTTAGAGAATCCGTCTCTTACCGAACGTGCGTAAACAGCTAAATTTTGCCGTCTTCCTCTTAATTTACTACTTACGTGCAACGTGTGGTCGGGGTGCCTAGCGCAGCCTTCCAGACAGGAAGGTCGGCAGAGCCGAGACCCAGAAGTATAAGGTCTCAGGCTCTCTTTAGAGTGAAATTTCTCCTATTTGTGGATACGTGTACAGAAAATCCCAGCAGCATAAATACCCAACCACCTTCAAAACGAATACATATACCCTACACTAGGCGCGGCTCCGTACGAGCTCCGTTCCAGAAGTGACAAGGGCAAGCTTCGCCCACGAGTTGTCTTTGGTCACACTGCTACGCAGGCCCCAGTAGCTGTTTGAGCATGTCGTGCTGAAGAAGGGAAGTGTGTGAGTTTACCATAGGATGCTGAGACCATTTCCCAGTTACTCTCTGTCAAAGATTGCACAGGAAGAGCAAGAAATCTTCCCCGGCTGTACAAGACCTGGCTAGTGATGCAGATTTAAACAGTAGCAAGAAGTCTTCCCCGCTGTAAAAGATTTAGCTAGTGATGCATATTTAAACGGAAATGTTGAGATCAAGGGTACGTTTCATGACTGAATTGTTGTTGCTCAGTGGTCGTCCACTCAAAGTTGCGTACTGTTAGGACGGCGCACGATGCCGGTATCAGATCCAGAGAGAAGCGCATGCCCCAACAGCCTGCGCTTTATAACAGAAATAAAAATCAACTAACACCGATATTTGAGCGTTTACTCAATTCGGTCGTGCTGAGGAAGAATTCTGTTTCGGCGGAGAACACAATGGTGCTGGTGGAGCAACACCACTAGCATCTACTGCAGTCGCGCAGCCACCACCCGCTCCTTGCAGCCGTTGCTCTTCCCGACTCTCTACTGAGTCCTGTCGAGATATATTCCTCTCCCTTTGTACTCTTGTGCCATCTAATCCAGCTAGAGCAGCTGGGCTCTTTGGAGTGTTCGAGTCCGCTTCACTGGAGTGAGGTTCACTCTGAGGCCGGTCGATAGTGACGCTGCATAAAAATGAACAATGAAAGAGATGCCATGCATATGACCTGCCCTGTTCCAATGCAGCAACGTGAACCTCACGAGTTTTACCCGAAAAAAACTGGACGCTGCGAAAAGGTCACCCTCCTACGAGGATGTAGCGCTGTTTGCACCATTCGGTTCCGGAGGGGGATCTCAGCGTGAAGGACTATCGAAAATGTGTTTGTCCCTTCAAATTGTACGTGAGTGAGCCCTACGCCGCTAAAGTGGAACATGAACTCACCGGGTCTTATACACCCGCCGATGCATTGGTTTCCCCTTTTCGCGAACTAGTGCCGAGAAATGGTCAAAATCTGAGAGCACCGCCAGCATGTAAACATGGGTAACCATCATGTTGCAGCGCATTCGAAGGAACGGTGTGGAGCAGAGCACTGTCACCGTACTCCCACTGTAGCCGCATATACACTACAAGTCCAAACTCCAAACTGCAGCCCAATTATTCTTTGGCTCAGCCAATAAGTGCTCCTACCCAAAGGCCCATCTTCATTTTCCTCCTGTTCCAGAGCGGCAGAGAGGCTCTGTCCAAACAGGGTTGCCCCGAATGCCCAGCGACAGTCATCGAGGGAGAGTTTTCCTGCGCCCACAGAATAAACAGACTTCCTGTATGTACTCGACTTGCGCCGTTGGTTTGGAACCAAGGCAAGAAGAGACACACTCGCAGACGCAGACAGGCAGTCCTGCGAAAATCTTTCAGCTGGCCCTAAAGCCATTCTCATGCCTCACCGTCGCCATCGACGTCCAGCTTGGTAAACGCCTTCTGCAATACTGAATCCTCTGCTTCAACCAAAGTGCCGATCATTGCAGCAGCGAACACTAAATTACCGAAGCACACCACAGCAAACGCCACAAGAAAGCAGCATTCAATCAAACTACATCTGAAAGAATAATTCGCATATCAGCTCCTAGGACTGAAATGTGTGGCCAAATGCATGAGGAGCAGCACAGAGAGCTGGGCCCTCGCCGAACTGATCGGTGTGCAAACTGACGGGACACTTTGTCCGGTCATTCATTTCGCTGTACGCGTTTGACACTTCCTTTCCATTTATGCATCTAGTTATTTTTTCGTTACGCCCATGCTACGTCGACGTGGCCCCTTACCCGTAAAAATTATCTCTCCATCTTTGTTGACGTCAAGTGCATCAAAAATGTCTTCGACCTAAGCTCAAGCCGAAACGATTGTCTTGACGTACAAAATTACCGAAAAGTTCCCAACCTCGATAACTCACCCTCCTACAGTGGAGCAAACGCTGCTTCATCCCTATGGTTAGGTTTAGGATCGCCGTGTACTACTCAAAGAGAAGCTGGAGATCCGCTAGCCAACAGAGCACACTGGTGTATGCTCTCTTGTCAACTAAATCAAGACCCCTGACTCCTGTTTGGTAAAGCGGAGCATTCCAGTTCTGGAGCTGGAGGCGTGACTCTTTGTGTAGAGAAATATCCTGCTGTTTACCAATGCTTGTCTTTGCGCTGTGCTAAAGATGCAAAGTACTGATAAATCCATCGTGGAGCACGAGAAAATCGATGAGAGGGAAATTTGGAAATGGGGGAAGCGCTTCACCTCTTCGTTTCCAAGAGGGTCCGGCTGTTCCCTCTGCAATGTTCTCTTGAGGTCCTCCGCCGTAAGTCGTCCAAAACTGGAGTGCGAAGCGCCAGCGAAAACGGAGCCCACCACTGAACACGGAAGAGCACAGCAGGAAGAATGAGGGCGATCCTCAGCGATAGTTCAGGCAAAAACGCTCTCAAATGCAGATAGCAAAACCGTCGCCAGACGCAACCGACTAAAGCTGACATCTAAACGTCAAGTGAGGCAGTTCACTGATACAACTGCTGGACAATGCATGCTTCCCGCATGACGCCTTCTGTCCTTCTGAGGGATCCCTTGTCCTACTACGCTCTGCTTGGATCAAAGCTCAGCCCTTGACTATTTGCCTGCACAGAATGTCGATATGTGAATGTTGAGTGCAGCACGTAGTTAGCGACTTCTTTCGTGTCTCACATTCGCACTGGTCAGAATTCAGGCAGTACGCGCACATGAGGACCGCCGCGCGTCGTAGTGTCGTGCTGTTCGCGAACCAGCAGAGTCTAAGGGAAATGCAAAAACAAGGCCACAGCAAATAGTGGTAATAATTTACAACGTCTAAATTCTCAAGGGATGCATGCGGAAAGCTGAGATATCCGCGCTTCCGAATCCGGGACATGTTGGTGGCATCTTTGCTCATACTGCATTGGCTGCAAACCGCAGCAGCAACAGCTATCTCCTCATTATTTATGGTTAGCTAGCGCACCCCATTATGCACGCAGGAGGAAGTGGCTGATGCTTGAGCATCTGTCCGAAAAGCCAGGGCTGAGTGCAAATGACAAGGCAAGTGAGCGGTGCGGCGCGTTGAGTCCCCTTGCTGGAGACAAGCCTATGAGAAACGCGCAGGTGGGACTTCCACGTGGTCCTATGTGCGTTCAAAGTCAGCTCATCGTCTGCGATTTTGTGCACCGCTTGAGGACGTCTCCAATTGCCTTACGTGCTCCAGTGCTTGTTGTGGGGTGAGACGGTTACTGCGGCGACAGGTAAACACAAGATCAACGCAGTGCTGCATCTGAGCGCAATCTACCCAGATGATGACATAGGCCTGGCGTTAAGATTGGATCCTTACTGCGGACTGATTGTTAATAGCTGCGCGACGAAGGACTTGGCTTCTTCGGATACGCCTGCCTTCCTGCAAAAAACACGGAGTAGCTGCGGATGTCCACGTTATGTATTTAGGAGCTCCAACGCTCATTGTTATTCCATGACGCGCCTACAACCCCTCCGGTATAAGCTCACTCTAGATGCTGCAAACTGACATCTCCGGAGAGGATCTGACGAATCTTTTCCTGCTGTGAACCCACAAAAGGAGGGCGGCCGCACAGTAGCTGATATACTGCAAGGAGAACAGATACGCAGCAATGCAAAACCATCGGCAACGGCCACTGCAGAACCGCCCTGGCAATATAGTCAGGTGTCTGCTTCAGTAGGCATCCTTCCCGTGGCATAAGTGCTGGAATTGCAGTTTTAATATTCTACGGCAAATTACCAGTGGTCCTATAGGAGGCGGGGCTATGCATGCAAAGTGTTGCGGCGGGTAGACGACCCGGGTGCGAGCGACCCTTAATCGAGAAACAAACACTTACCAATAACGCCTAAAGACCACATGTCGCAGGCATCCGTGTAACGCCCAAGAAGAACATCTGTAGTGGACATTACAAACAGGGTCCGCATGCAAGCGCATATGGAAGCAACGACACAATACAATGCACTGAAACATACATCCGGCAAAAAGGAAGTATGCGGCAACCTTAAGAGGCAAAATCTTTGCTTCTGTACGGTTCGCTGGACAGGAGAACCAAACACCGTGAAAGCAAGGTCCCGCAAATTGTAGAAAAGGCGGTCTTCTCTCACTATGTTTGTACTATTACACTTTCCAGAAAGTATCAAAGTATAAAATATACACCCCTCTTCTCTAGTGCCGCTAACCTGGGCTTGTGTACTCCAGTAGGCCGCAAGCAGCATTGAGACGGCCTTCCTTTTTGTGCCAGCGAGTGGAATGGCTCAGGCCGTAGAGCTTTAGAGGAGGGAAGCAGCCTTCGCTTGTCAGCTGCCAGCTCTCAAGTCTGAGGTTGCGATGGACGACTCCGCATCCCTGAAGGAATCCAACGGCTCGTACCATCTGCAACGAACAAAAGACACAGCCGGTTGTAGGACGGGTACGCGCAGATTTCTCCTACCCTGCGCTGTGCTACCAAACTACTTCTTACGGTTGTTGTCCCCGAAATACTGTGTTAGCAGTATTAGGCGAATGACAACCGTAGAAAGTAGAATATCCTTGGAAGCACAAAGCAAGCCGGCAAAATGCAATATTTCGGGGGGGCAACGGCGTCTGACTTGTAGGGTCCAAGTCCTTGCCACTTCCTCTGGGCACTTCTGCAAGGCTGCCAGGCAATCATACAGTGAGCCTCCTGCAGCAGGTGACGTACACGAAAGACGCAAGTTATGTCTTCCTTCAAAGCATCACACCACTCACGCAGGTAGTACAAAGGTCTCTGCAGTTTCCTACAAGATTCGTATGATTCTACTGAAGACAAAACTTCCAAAAACTCGGAAAGCAACCATGCGTTCGCAGATATCCAGTTCTCGAGGAAGATCCTCACCTGGGCAGTACTCAGAAACCAAGTAAACGGCTCTATCGTCCTCGAACACTTCGAGCAACCTGCACGACCCGGAGAATATAAAACCACAATCCCAGTGAAGGCAAACAGACACCTTCCTAAGAACAGGAGAGCATCAGCATTGCCGACTCTGGTCCCTACTCTGTTTTGAGTAGGGCACTGTTCCGATATTCCTCGCTGGGGAGGGCACAGTGCCTGTTAGAGGCAATGGAACTATAAATAGCAGCACGCGGTTTGACGTGCCTAGCAATATACGGGTGGTCCAAACAGAGCCAAACCTCTATCTCCTTCTTCAATGTCTCCAACTGCAGGGGGTCTTCGAGATGCTTTCGTACCACGAGGGCTTCTGCCTTGCGTCCACTGCGCCTACAGGTCACTCTGCACACTTTACCCGCATCCTCTCTCCGCAGAACGCAGAAGTCAAAAGAGTATACATCCCCAATGGCATCACGCATCAGGCGGCTCGTATACTGAGCATCACAACACATAACAAGTGCGGCAACAAGTGTCTATATTCTAACAGACGAAACAGAATATACTGTTCAACGTTGGTTTGTGAAGGATGAACATCCGTTTCTCCCAAGAATTCGCAAATCCGTTCACGTTTTCCAGTGGACGAACCAGGTTGTTCAATATACAGAGTGGGCCCAACGGCAAAGATATTCAACCTATGCAACTAAATGATTCCCCTAGACATGTGAAGGCGAATGCTAGAATGGACGGTTTCTAGCAAGAGATACAGGGATCGCCCTCCCCCTTATTGAATGCCTGAATATTGCCATTCTCTTTCGTGGGAAAGAAGGCAGGGCGCCAATACGTATATCTGATATCACCCACCCGGACGATGTTTTGTTGTGGCTGCTGAGCGGCATCACTGAGAACTGTTGTTTGGCTATGCGATGTCCTTGCGTCCGCTTGAGTGCCTCTAATTCGGGAAAGTCCAGCAACAGGTGCTTCGCGACCCCGCAAGTGGTGCAAAGACTGTCCAGCCCCCATTTAGCATTTCTCGAGAGCAAGGCCCTAAACTGTGCAGATTCTGCTTCCAATGATTTTCGAATAACAAAACAAGCAAGGGAAATCTGATCCCTCAAATATGGGAGCATGTAAACTCCTTACGGGTCGAAACCCTTTCTTGAGAAGGCCTAACTCCCATGCCGTATTTGTTGAACAAAACGTACGGCAAAAGGAGTAACTAGACTGGAGTCTTCTGTACAAACAGAGGCAACGAAGCTGTACCCTCACCCCTTCAGGTGGGGCTTGAACGGACACGAGAGATAAAAACACCTAGTGCATTCGGCCATAGCACCCAAAGAGATGTTGTAAAATAATTTCGAATGAGAAGTTGGATTAAGTAGCGAATGCAGTGGCGAAGGATCGGCCGCACACACCGACCGCCTGCCAATACCCACTGGTCTGGACGCTGGAGACGACCAGTAGTACGCCTACAACCATGTGCGCTTTAATGCAGACATGTTCCTGCGAAATAGTTCAGTCACTGATCCTAGCATAGGATGCGAAGGGCCAAGTCATCGCAAGTCGCTGCAACGGCCCGTTTCGCATGCATGTGACGCTCCACCTCTACCGCTCCATACAACGAGAAGCCTACGCGTACCTTCCGTGCTCTGAAGTGCACGCCTTTGTCGGGCTTGTTTGACAATGAAATAAGTAAATATTCCAATAAGGAAAATGCTCAGCGTAAAGAACATCCCCCTGTTCAGGTCTTATTACCCTTACACCGGGTTGGCCGTAGTTATGCAGCGAAGCCTGTCTGCTGTCGAATTGTGCCGATGTAAACCCCTATGCAGTATGTGTTCCCTGCAAGGACTATCTATTGTCAATCATCACTGGCAGCTAAGTGTGCGCAGGATGGAGTAGCAGTGTACCGGCGGGACGGCCAGGCCTTCGGCGGCGTGAATATGTGCAAAGAGGGTATAGGGGCGGTTAACTTTGGCTATCAAATCAGGGGTGACGGCCTTGCAAGTTCATGCTTCTGGTGTGCTCATCTGTATGCGCGGGGTGGAATAAGAACTCTCGATTTCAGGCCGAATCCGACGTGAGGTGCAAATCACTTTAGACACTACACGCTACGAAGCAGCTAGCCTCCACTACTGACTATCGCAATGCTACGCGCGGTAGGACAAAGTCCTGGGGCTTTCGGATAGAAGAGGCGGCTCCGTTGAGTTGCGGCAATTGCACCTGAAACTGCTGCCACAAGGCATTCTCGCGCGCAAAAGCACCTGGGCCGCTTTCCTCCTGCATGCACTAACGTCGTACCCAATTGTGAAGCACTTGCGTAGCTTTCTTCATGCTTTCTTTAGCTGCCGATCTCACAATCACAGGTGCACACACCTACTTCTAAAAGACTCTGCTACGCGGCGGCGTGTCGCTCCCCAAACCGGGCGCGTCTTTGTTTGCCACTTCTCCTGAGCAGAGGCTTTGGGGTGCGCAGTGCCGGCGCGAAGCCCAAGATTGCCTCTGCCATAAAAAGGCGAAGATAAATAGAAACTAGGCGAGCATATAAGGGATGTTTGGCGGCATTGGCGGCATTTGCTGCTGATGCTCCCAAGCACATCTGGCTGAGCGGTTCGCTGCTTGGAAAATGCCGCCGAAGTAGGGAGCGCGGCCTGGGACGCACGTTTTACAGAGACAGTGCATATTGCAGGTTTGACCCCATGCGGTACATAGAGAAGCTGGGGCGGTGTAAACGCAGCGCATGGAGGAAAGCGTGGGGTAGACCACGCCGAAAAAAATTAACGGCCGGAAGCAGTAGATACGGAAATATGACGTCATTTTTAGCGGCAGGAAGGCAACAGTCTCCAAAGATTTCAGTCAGCACAGAATAAAGAGGCTCCATTCTAACCCAAAGCTTGAGCCAAAAACGTTGACAGGCCTCCCAAACTCCTATACCGTAGACTTCAGCTGGGCAGGACAAAATGTAGAGGAAACCGTAGCTGGTCAGAGACATTGCTCCAGAGTGTAACCAACATTAGAGTGTATTCAAGGTTGTGCACTCCCCCTTTTGCCTCCCCAACCCTTCGAGCTATAATCGAAATTTTAGTGGTCCACTGCTGGATTTGCGTAGATATACATTCTCTCCTCGCGGCAGTCTCTTTTGGGCCGCCTGTACAATGAGAGAGGTGAGGCGATGGAGAGGTTTATGATGCTTTTCTCTGGCTATGGATCGCCTCGAAACAGCTGCCAGGGCTGCACTTGGAGCCGGCTGAATGGGATCCATTGGAATTCCAAATGGCAGGAGTCCAGAGGGAGAACCGCCAGCTAGAAACTTCACTTTATTAAGTATATCTGGGTGCATTTCTTTCAACCATGAGAAGGTTGGCCTTCATTAAGAAGTGGCTGGGTTGAATTCCCCCAAATCGCACTCTTCATAAGACCCTTAAGAAGAAATGCATGCATTTCTACTTCGTTTCCAGAAACGCCTCTACATTGCGCTGGAGCCTCTTATCTCCTTCCTTCTTAGGTTGCTGATCTGTTCCTCTTACCATAAATAATGACAGTGCTGTTGGAAGAGCCGTCAGGTTTGCTCCGGCAATGCTTCCCGGTTGATACGCGTCAACAATCTCCGATTTATGGCACAGTCGAACATTCCACTGAGTCACTTACGGCATACGTAGGGTTACGTCATGTTGAACTCGTACAACGTAGGGGTCCAGAATCATGGAAATATGAGCTACTTTTTAACTGATTATGCAATCACGTCCATAATTTTACCGATTCTCGTCTTCTATCTCCCATCGGAGAAGCGTGGCGGCAGAAAGCGTGTGGACGAATTGAGACGTACCTTGCGCCTTCCACCGGTAGCTTCAGTTATCAGATCCACTTCCCACTTTGTGACAAGTAACCCTAACAACTTCTGACCATCCCTCTAGTTTTGGCTAAGCGCAGGGTCGACTTAAGTTCGATTCGCAGGCGTCACAGTCACATCATTTGGGCCCAAAACCACTTTGCGCATTGCGTGGAGCCTATGGCATTTCCCTCACCACCTTCTTTGTTCCGCTGGCAATGCTGCTCTGATTTGTCAGCTATTAGCCCTTTTCGTGCTTCCTCAATCTCGGATTATGTTATTTTGTGCAAAAGGAGAATCTGGAGGCCTGGTTGCCCCCATTATTCTGTGTACACAATTTGCCATCTGCTCTTGAGTAGTCTTTTTCTGGGCTGAGGTAGAATGTGTTGCTCCAGTATTCATATTCTNTTTGCCATCTGCTCTTGAGTAGTCTTTTTCTGGGCTGAGGTAGAATGTGTTGCTCCAGTATTCATATTCTGTTCGGGTAACTCCCAAAACCCTTCCCTTCAGTCTCAGCCGTGAGAGTGAAGTGCCACTTTTTGGCGTTTTTCTCTCTTTGAAGCATAAGTGTGAGAAACTCCCATTTAGACAGAAGGCTACCTAAGGTGAACTTGAGGCCTTAGGGATCATAGGAAACTCGGAACTTGACCCACTCTTGTAAGTGCGTGTACCAAGCAATGTCTGGAGCACTCGCGGTGTGCAGCCAACGACAACACAGACACAGACAAAGCATAGCTTGACTGGCACGCTCAAGTACACCCTCTTATGCTACAGGCACACAAATATCTCATCTGCTTCAGCAAATGGCAAAGCTAACAAGGCGTAAAGAATGTTTCTTCTCATGCTTTTTCTCCCAAAATTGTTATGTTCTCATCCCCATTAGATCCGGGACGGCGGCCCTAGGGGATGGGAGGCGAAACGGTCTGGCGTGTTGCAACACCTTGTCGACCAAGTCACATG